ATTTTAAATTAAATTAATTAATTAAGCAAATATTCACACATCTCTCTTGAATCCTATCTCATCACTCTATCCATAATAATTTTACTCAGTCATATTTAATTAAGGAATATAAGTTTATGATCCATAATTTATTCACTTTATTTTATAACACAAGATTTTGTCAATTTGCTAACACTATAAATGAAAAAGTGGTCAATAAAATGGGTGTATTATTTAAAACCTCCCCCCAAAAACGATATAATGACTATAAATTATTACATGCTACTCACTGAAGTTTGGTCGGAGCGACAGGTTAAAATTTTATTAGGGACTAGCTAGAATTCAAATTGTTATTTCTAGCAGGACTTTACTGTGAAATAAGAAGAAGAAAAAAATCCTTTTATAGATTACTAAAACTTACACTAATAAGTAAACTAGATGAGTCCATAGCGCACCCATCTTCAGAATAAATCTATGGTGCTACTGTTGCACCAAAGATTTAGTACACTCCACTAATAGAAATATTACATGTCAGCTGAAGTTTTTTTTCTCTGTTAAATTTTTTCTCTCTCCTAGGATGTGTAATGCTTCTATTGGGGGGATGCTCTGAATCTTGGTGCAACAATAGCACCAAAGATTTATTCCCATCTTGAGGAGTGCACCGTAAAAACTAAAAAGATTACCCATTCTCTTAAAGATTATAATCATTGTTCTGCCTTGTGCATATGTGTCCGACCGTAGGTCGAGTGTTTGATATTGGATCTGTAGCTTTCTCTCTAGATACATATGAATTAGGTATCTTGGAGACAGCGAATCACTACACACTATATGATGGCCTTAGCCAGAAGGGGTGCGTGTGTGCACTGTCGTGTTTGAATGAAATAGGGTTAGAGAGATCAGTCATACCTGTGGTCTTTAGCTCCTATTTATAGAATTTACCTTTGGGCTTGTGCTGGTTGGGTCTCTTACTGGCATGGGCCTTTCCCAGGTCCATAACAGTTGCCCCCCAGCCCGGTAGACTGAGTCTTCACGATGCCGGGATGTCTAAGTCTGGCTCCCGTGTCATCTGCATTTTAGCTCGGCTTATGAGCCCGGCTTTCAAGATTGCATCCGAGTTTTTCTCGGTCTTTCCCAAACGCCATTGCACCCGAGCTATTCTGCCGTGGTATAGCATCTTTCTTGATTTCTTCCCAGAAACGGTTCTTGTCCTGTCCAGAATGATTGCTTTTCCACGTGTCCTTTTAATCGAACGCGTCGTGTGGCATTCGCCGTATTCTCATTAATTTCCATTGTCTGAAACGTCTTTCAACTGTCTTGTCAGCCTTGAAATTACTCCCATACCCCTCTGCCTTTTGGTTTTCGCAGGTTGAGAAATCTTTCAACTTCGATACCCTCCTCTTACTTCCTCATTAAACCATCTTCTCAACCTTTTTCCCTTCTGTTACGATCTATCACATTGCACCTTTGCCTCCTGCTTAATTCATACTCTCCGATCTCAGGTACTGTAATCACTCAATTTTGTCCTCACTAAAAACCAATAAAAGAATAATAAAAGAAAATAAAATAAAAATAAATAAAAATAATAATAATAATAATGAAAAATAAAATAAACACTGCTCCACGTGACCTCCATCCCTTCATCATCTTGACATGCCAGGTCTTGCAGAACCCATAACCTGCATGCCCCATCCTTTAACCCATCAGGTGCATTAATAGCCCTATATATGAAACCGCCATCTTTGGTTAACCGACTATCAAACAATAGCTTGTGAATTCATTTTGTTGATCTCTATATACAACCCCACGTGATGTGTTTAGGAGGGCGGGGGAAGAGGATAAGAAAAGCAGGGGAGGCGTGTCTAGGGAGGTAAGGGAAATAATAGAAAAAGCAGCCTTCACTCTATAAATATCAAAGAACTTGATTGTGAAAAGGGGTGGTTTTTATTGTGGATTGGTTGGGAAGTTTTCAGAAAGGAAAGGTAGTGCTAAAACAGAAATACTGAAAGAGAGAAATGAGGGATTCTTAGGAAGACAACAGATTTCTAAAACCCAAAGAATTTTTAGAGAAAGAAAGGAAAAGACTTAGAAAAAAAAAACAAAAAGAATTTGAGGAGAGCTAACACCACTGTTGTTGCTGCCACTGTCACACGCACCACCTCGCTCTACCATCTGTCTAGCATATCTCTTGTGATATTTTCCACTGTGAATGACCATTGCCACAAGGATCTTTGCCTTTGATACCCTCGCTCAGGTTCTTTTTCATTTGGGTTTAAAGTTTTCTTTTTGACTCATATTAAGCTTTAAAAGAATGATAAACCAACATAGAGTTCTATTGCTGTCATGTTTCTGCCACCCTTTTTTAGACATACTGTTTGAGCATTTACATAACCATTTGATTCATTTATCTAAGATGTCATAAACCTTGTTGGCTTTTAGGTGCACTAGCGAAAATATTCTAATGCTTTTAGTGGCTCACTAAACATACAAACCTGCGAGCTTATGTTTCTAGTGGAATATTTTAATATTTTTTTCATGGATCACTAGACATAAGATCTATAAGCATGCATGATACTAATAACTAGTGGAGATACTAGCGAAAATATTCTAATGCTTTTAGTGGCTCACTAAACATACAAACCTGCGAGCTTATGTTTCTAGTGGAATATTTTAATTTTTTTTTTTCATGGATCACTAGACATAAGATCTATAAACATGCATGATACTAATAACTAGTGGAGATATCTTGATAACAACACACACCATCTTGTTTTCTATGATTCCATTTATGTTCTCGTTAATTTTTATTTTATTTAAAGTTGCCTTATTATGAACTATATTATTAACGGCACACTAGCATTTTTTTTTTCTTTTTTTTTTCTTTCTTGTCCAGTAAATCACACTAACATCTCTTTATATCTTAAGTGTATAGTGCGCTACAATATCATTTTTTTTATATAATATAATTAGACTTTATGAAAATTTATTAAAATAATACAATAACCTCAAGTTTATTATAAAAAAGGTTAACTTAGCCGTGACGGTCTGTTAATCTCGTGTATATTTTTTTGATTCATTTTTGCCGTGACGGTTTGGTGATTCAAAATTCATTCAAATCTATTTTAGAATAATTGGAATAGTAACATGAAATTCGTTTTAAAAGGATTAGCTGAGCCGTGACGACTTGTTAACCTTACATAATCTTTTGATTCATTTTAGCCGTGACGGCTCGGTGATTCAAAATTTATCTAAAATTTGTTATTGAAACTTAAAACATTAAGATTTTCAACAAAGGGGTAATTTAACCGTGACGGTTTGTTAACCCCGTGTATTTTATTTTGACTCATTTTAGCCGTGACGGCTTGGTGATTCAAAATTCATTCAAATTTATCTTAAAATTCACAATAATGAAAATAATAACATGAAATTTAATTTATTAAAAAAGGATTAGCTGAGTTGAGATAGCTTGTTAATCCTACAATTATCGTTTCAGATTATTTTAGCTGCGACAGTTTGATAGTCTGAAACCATCAAATCCAAAACTTTCAAATTAAACCTACTTTCAAAAAAATAAAATCAATCAACTCACAATATTTTCTACAGAACGACGTAGCTTTGAGTTCCCTATTGTACCGAGGGATACGTCGGAACGGGACTCTTCCCGTCAAGCACAAAAATAAAATTTCAAAATTAGTTTTCTTTTTCAACGACCAATTTTATTTATTAGGGGTGAAATAAATATTTAAAATATCATCAATAATTTGCACAATTAATATAAGGTAACCATTTTTTAACGGACGGTGTAGGGTGCTAATACCTTCCCTACTCGTAATCGACTCCCGAATCCATTTCTTTTGTTTTCAAAAACCAGTTGTCTTTAAAAAAGGTTTTTCCAATGTTTTCCTAAGTAAACCTTGACTCCATTGTTTTAACCATTCAATATTCTTTCGTCGTCACGTCGCGATACGGTTGCGACAACTGGCGACTCCACTGGGGACCTTCAGATAGTCAAGCCTATTTTATTAATTGTGCAGATTATTCGTAAATTTTTATTTATCTATTTCATCCATCTTTTATTGTATTATTTTTTATATCGTTTGTGTAAGTATTTTTGTACATACGTTTGTCCTGTGTTGTTGATATATTTATAGCTGCATAAATAAATATGTATCCTGTTTGATTTTAACCTTAGGGTAGAAACCTCTATATATATTCTGCTTTGCTTCTGTTTTGCAGCTTTGAAATTATAAATTATTTTAGGATGTACAGGTTTGTATGCTCCTTTCACACACCACACTCACACGACTCACACACAATTATGAGTGGGGCCCTGTACCCGGGTCTGAGTGAAACATGAGATAAGTAAGAGGTTGTGTAGTGGTATCCATTTTGGATGTACATCCTGTTTGTTTATCATGAAAACCTCAACTAGAGTGTGACTCTTTCGGAATATAGTCATTTTGGATGTACATGCTATTTGATTATTTTTTCCGAAATGAGATCTGAACTCTAGAGACCAATATAGAATCGTAGAGCCACCCATTGAGAGCTTTCACGAATTAGAAAAGCATATGCCCAACCCTTAGGCTTTCCTAATGTAGGACAATGGGAGTATGCTCTCTCTATCTTTATTACTATTTTTTTTTCTTTCATGTTGCAACATCTAATCATAACCATGAGCATTTAATGTCATGCACTCAGGAGGCATTTCACCTCCGAAACTTTAAGCACCTTGCCAAAGTATTATTGTACTTTTGATACTAAGCGTCATAATCTCGCCTCAGGGGTTCACAACCTGGCGAAGTTCATTCATGCATTTTCATCAACAAAAGAATCCTTTTATTTTCTAAATTCCATTTGCATAGCATAAAATCTTGAAAATTTTGTCTTCAGCATCCACAACAAGCATATTTTACTTTAGCATTTGCATACTCATTATCTTGTCTTACTCAGTGAGAGAAAAATCAACAAAAAGCAAAACGGTTCCACGGCACCCTTATAGGACTCGTGCACAAGCCAAGATCATGGATGAACTAGAACGAGGTGAGCTGAGAGAAGATGTGAACCAGCTGAAAGTACAGATGGCTCAAATGCTGGAGATTCTACAATCGCTGGAAAAGAGGAACACAGATGGGACCCCTTCAGCTGTAAATGACGAACAAGTAGCTACACCATCCCACCCACCTGGCTTTCCCCTAATTCCTATGCAGCTCCAAAGTTCCAACCCTCAAGGAGTACTAATGCCACTTACGGTATACCCAAATATTCCCATACAACCACCAATCATAAACCCACAAGAAGTCCATGTACCACCATTCCCTCCATACGGCCTACCTCCAGGATTTGTACCACCACAAGCCACTAATCCTCCAGATGGTAACACATCAACTCCTACCCTAAACCCTACTCAACCGCAAGGTCCTCATCCAAATTCAATCGAAAATCCACAAACAGAAACACCATTCCCTGTTAGTAGTGCACCGATGGTTCCACCTATCTTAAACACACAAAATGTATCCCAACCACACTCCAATCCTGTATATGTGGCAACAAATAACCCTCATGGAGTTTCTCATGACACATCGAATAACTCTTCAATTGGAATTCTTCAATCTATGGGGAAATTGGAAGTTTTGGAAGAAAGGTTGAGAACTATAGAAGGGGGAAGTAATTATGGCCTTGGAAACGCATCTGAACTTTGTCTGGTTCCTAATGTTGTTATTCCCCCAAAATTTAAAGTACCTGATTTTGACAAGTATAAAGGGACCACTTGCCCAAAGAGTCATCTGACCATGTATTGTCGAAAGATGGCCTTATATGCCCAAGATGAGAATTTGTTGATCCATTTTTTCCAGGATAGCCTGAAGGGGGCAGCTTCGAATTGGTACACGCACCTTGAGCGAGCACATATACGTTGTTGGAAAGATTTGGCTGATGCTTTCCTGAAGCAATACAAGTATAACATTGATATGGCTCCTGATAGACTGCAGCTACAGAATATGACAAAGAAAGATGTTGAGTCTTTTAAAAAGCATGCTCAACGATGGAGGGAATTATCTGCACAAGTTGACCCCCCATTGTCAGAAAAGGAAATGGTTGCTACATTCATCGATACCCTCCAATCATCGTTCTATGACCGGATGATCGGAAGCGTGTCATCAAATTTTTCTGACATTGTCATAATAGGAGAAAGGGTAGAAAACGGAATAAGGAGTGGCAAAATCACTCCTAATTCCATGGAGGCTGTTAATATGAAGAAACCTTCAACTGGGATAGGAAGAAAAGAAGAAGGAGAAACTCATGTTGTGACTTTCAATCAGCAAAGGTTTACGCAAGGCAAGCCTAACCCAACATATAGTAACCCTCAGCCAAGTTTTCAAACACCTTTCACTAATTACCCTGATGTGGCCAATACTTCACATACCCCATATCCCCAACCTTACCACTCAACAACACCCTACCACTCACCACCTCCTTCCCAGCCACAAACATTTTCAACCGTACCATCACGACCACCTCAATCATGGGCTCAAAATTCAAATCCAAATCAAAGAAGAACCCCAAATAACCAAGAGAGGAAACCATTTAAATTTGACCCAATTCCCATGTCTTATACCGAGCTTTCACCACACCTCATCCAAAGTTCACTTGTTGTTCCATGTCCCATGAAACCACTTGAGCCTCCTTACCCTAGAGGATTTGATGTGAATGCTAAATGTGATTATCATGCTGGAATTATGGGCCATTCTACTGAAAATTGTAATGCTTTAAAGTTTAAGGTGCAGAATTTAATT